ATTTCTTGATTTAAAAAAAAAAATCATGCTGTTTTCCCATGGAAATCAAAGGCAAAAGATCGCGCTACATTATCGGTAAATCTCTTCCGTGTTGCGTTCACCATGAGGTCGCTGAACTGTCATTAACATATTCAAATGAGCTATGTAATTTAGACACGTGGGCACCATCCAGCATTTTGATTGGTTAATTAGCGACTTGACCTATCCGGTCAATAATACGTCACGTGAGCATTCAAAAACATGCAGCATGGATATCGTATCGGCTGTTTACACGTGACTGAAATCATTCGCTTACGGGGAAACTAAGTTGAATTTTACTTGGATTTTATAAAAATTCAACGAATTTATTTTTCGTGCGTTATTGTAATCACTACTAAATAATAATCACTATATCAACACTTCGAAAACAAGTAAGTTATTCACTTGTGACCCGCAGCATGGCCGGATCGAGCTACCGTTATGTGATCATTTGCTACTAAGCAGTGCATTCGTGTTTTTATTTGAAACTTCTGTTAGAATATACTTTTCGTTACCAAGAAAATTAAAAAAATAAATGCATATTACATTAAAAATACTGAGTATTTTTTGTATCATGTGAATTTTTTTTGATTGACTGTAATTTTTCAACATTTCGTAACGCCTATTTTAGAACCAAAATAAGGCCTTTCACTCTTCCCTGATGCCTATTCAAGAGATTGTACGGTGTATTGTTTGTTTTGTGCATGTGTTGTGGACAAAAAATGACCACGCCCATTTAGTGATTGCAATATGTACGTAATAGAAACCGCACCCCGAACTTGAGCTTTTGATCCCAATTTTTAAATTGATACATTGTAATATAAACCGCGGTTTATAATAGGACTTTAACGGTATTTGCATTCTTTGGCAATTCAACATCTGTTCATTGTCATATGCTATGTCAACTCTGATTAGCTGTATGCTTTACATGCATTTTAATCACTAACTATTTGAGTTGATTTACATACAAAGCAGAGCTTGCAACATGATAATTATACTTTAAAGGTGTTTTTTAACTTTTCCAATAATACAGTAGTCACACAATGAATATAATAAGGCAGTTCATATTTGTCTCAGTAAATCATTAATTTTTGACAGACACCTGAACAAATTACTTTTGCAAAAGCCACCCAAGGACAGCGGACAGGTCATTTGTTGTCATTCAGTTGAGCGGTTGTGAAATGATTGTGATCCAATGTTGCAAAAATTGATTTGAATTTGAAGTGCCAGTCTTTTGGAGAGGGATGGTTTGTTGAGATCTTTCTTCATCAAAATTGACCATCAAATGTGTGTACATGTAGCATATGTGAATAGTAGTAAATTTTTAGCTTAATGGCCCTGGGTAATGCCTTCTCTGAAATCCGTTCTACCACAATAAAATAGTAGGGCAATCTTTTTTCTAGATTGTAATCTTGCTGGTGAGAGACAAAAAAATCAAGAAGCTAGAACAGTTATGGATAGAGACCGTGATAGAGATCGAGGAAGCAGAGAAGGCAGCAGAATTCTGTACGTATTGCACTGTGATACTAGTATACATGTAGCTGCACAGTTTAAATGTATTAAAAATATCAACCTGTAGGGTTGACCCTGGGAATCTTCTTGATTTATGCCATTTGTGAAGACAATTGCACCAAATTCACCAACACTTCATGCTGCAGGAACCCGGAAAACTAGTTTCGTTAAATTAAAGTAGTTTATAGTATTATGATCACTTGATAATTTGATTATCTGTACTTTATCTTAAGTGTTTTGGTTTTGATTTTAGTGACTATGACAGATTTGATCCTTATGATAGGCCTTATGATAGGCAAAGATCTCGTGAACGTTCACCATTACGTGATCCTTATGCTGACCGATATAGAGGAAGAGACTCAGAACTAGATCGGAGGTGAGTTTTTGATGAGAGGCTGATATTTGAATTGACCCACTGTATTGTCCATTATGTTTTTTTTGAGACAAACTACAACTGTAGTATCTTTGTGTCTTCATTATGCCATTATATCTTCCAAAGCTTACTCAAACCTATCCTATTATTTTCTATGACTGCTTATTGTCTACTGTTACTAACTGCCCTATATAGATATATTGCAACTACGCTTTTCAATTCTTCGCCCTAAATTATTTTATCCCACTATTCTGTATCATTCTTGCACGCACATTATACAAGATCATGCCGTCCTTTTTCCCTGCATTATTTAAGGAAGATAACAGTTCCTCTAATTCCTTAACATCACAAGCAAAAAGTACTATATCTTCTGCAAATG